AAACAAATTTTTTGTTACTAGGTATTCATATTCAGGGTGTTTCAGCAATTTGGTTACAAACTTTTAGAAAAGATAGAGTATATCTAGGTGATGGAAAATCACATAGCAATGCATGGTTGGAAATGCTCTCCTCTTGACGACACAAGAAGGGATGGACATGAACAGGGTAAGAAAATATATTTATTACAATCAGTGCAGCTAAAATGTTGGAAATGTTAAATTTTGCATACATAAACAAGCCTTGATGTTCGTTTCCACCTGAATACAGCATATCCTTAACATTAGACGGGCAAGCGGGATCAGGTGAATTGGCCAGCAAGATCACTTTCTCTGAAGTTACGTCAAGACACTGGTATGCGAAACCCCATTAACATTGCTTAGGAACTTGGTGCATGTATCACGGCAGCTGCTGGGAAAGTCCGGGACTCGCCAGGAACGTGTTTGTTTTTGACTATGCATTGCTATGTAATTTTCCTTTGTCCAGATCTCTCCTAAGAGTTTGTAACCGAATTGCTGAAACACTGTGCACAATCAGTGACACAAGAGGGATTTTTCAAATTTGCATTTCATATATTTTTTCAGAAAACGTATCCTCCTTTTTCAGTTTTGAAGCAAATTTCAGTCTGATTAGCAGGAAAATTGAAGTTGCCAAATATTGAATTGCATCTATCTAATGGTTTGAAATTGTACAAAAAATTTCATTTGTGTAGGTCTTCATAGTACATATTTGTATACAATAATTACTGTGCAGATAAATCCCAGTTTTATTCAAAACAATATGTCTGCATGCTTAATATTGTGCATAAGCATGCATAAAATTGTTCACTATGCAAAAAATATTCAGTTTTATCTGTGCCTAGTATTGCATATCACTATCACTGTGTATTTCAGTTACATTTTATACATCAAGGCTATCTGATATTATATTCTCATCTTATATCCTCTAAAGAATTTCATTCTTAAAACCAGAAATTCTAAAATTATAGAATGTCTACCACTAATGGTACATTATTTTTGGTTTACAATTTGTACACAAGATTTGAATGGTTGTCCTTTTGGTTAACAATGATACATATTTTAATTGTTATATATGTGGTACCAAATTTAAGAAGTTCGAGAACCTGTATCTTAAACCTTTGGGTAATCAAGTTCCAGAGATTAAAAAGAAGATATACATTTACTATATAGCTTCGAATAGGAACAGGTATGTTAAAGATTTCTAATCATTTTTGTATTAGGAAGTTATAAACAACAAAGAAGAGTTAGTTTTGTGCTCAGTAGTAGTCAGTTTTGTAGTGTGTGAAAATCCAAAATATTGGGGCATTATAAAATATATTGGTGGAGTTCGGAATTTTGAGAAAAGAGAAAAATTTCATAATGTAAAGCAAATGTTTATTTAAACCAGGCATGTCAAACTCTTATCTTAAATGAGCCGAATTATCATCAGGGTACACTGGTGTGTACTGCAAGGGGGCTAAGTAATTTTCGTACATAATAATTCATTAAAATTTTATAAATGCATAAATCCTTATCTAATACTGATGTTCTTTAAAAAAAATGGAGAAATCCGCTCAGTAGATGAATACCTATTTTTCTTTCCCGAATCCTAAATTCTTTTTCCAGCAAAGCTTTCGGATGGCTCGAAATGTGCTACTCAGGTAAGGATTTTCAAAACAGAGGCTAATTAAACGTCTGTTACTCTGGATCTCGGTGAGAACTTGTTCCTTTCCATAAGTGAAGACAATTGTTCAAACTGATATGTACTTTCAAACAGAAAAATCACGTACGATGCAAATTTTCGGCTGTCTAGGAACAGCGGAAGTATTTAGAAAATTTCAGGAGTTACTTTTTGTTTTCGAACCTAGTCGCAATGATTTTTTATTAGTTCCGCATTAAATGAGCTGACACAATTTCAGGGTCAGTTTAGAACAGAGACAGCTGGTCTTCGATAGATTTGATAACGCGGTATCTTACTTCGAATTAACCTTTAAAATGCTGAATATTTTCAGCACACGTTTTGTCCAAAGCAGGCTCTCTTGTTTTTTTTTTTTTTTCCGGGGGGGGGGGGGCTTTGAATGTTTCTACTAGTTCATTCATAGTCATAATACCTATAACTTTTCTTTGCAGTTTCAGGTTCAAATCCAATTAATTTTCGTAACATTAGCTATGAGAGCGTTTTTTTTTTTTAATTACCAACAAATGGCAAATTCCGTCCTTCAAGCTTCCCAACCCGTGAAGCGGTATAGCTAGCACACTTTTATGTAACAGGGAAGCCCATAATATTCGCTTTCTGTATCTTCCAAGATAACAGAAACTTGTCGCTTTTTCGAACCATAAATTTACAAAACAGATTTTTCTTAAAATAGCTCCAAAACACTATTCTCCTGGTGTAGAAGATAGCGAAAGTGATGGAAGTTACGTCTCTCATAACATTTATCTCTCTTTGAAGGCATGCTTATTTTTTCCATTTATCGAAAGGCGTTTCTCCGTGGCTACACAGAACAGTTTGCACAGAGGTAAATCATAGATTTTCAGAAATTCACAAACAGTTTTGAATATATTCTTTCCAGTGGCAATATTATGTAACTGTACAATGTCTAGCAGTTCCTCAAACAACATGGGACCTTCAGCGACTGAGTCATAAAGTCCCTGAACACTGAGAATTCTGCCCGGGTTCAAATCCCGACGAACGGGCTTAGAACGTCCTACTCGAAGGTGTCTTTCCCGTTAAGCCGCTAACCCTCGTGTGGTTTCCTATAATCAAACCAGTCAAGCGAAAACATTCTGAAAAACGTAGTTTCGCATCACAAAAGTGCTCCAAGAAACACTACTAGTTCAGCTTCGCCAGGCCTGTTGTCACACGCACTGGAATATGCAATCAAGCTCGACTTTTTTTTAATTGATAACTCAAATTGGACACCAATTTAGTTACTCATACAGCTACTTTATCGCAGGACAGTAAGCTGCTTTGAAATACCTTTACACATCCAGGACTATTTCAATGGTTTTGATTTAAGAGTCTTATAAATTCACCACAAGTTAAAGATTTTGAGTGTGTGATTATCATTTTCCATAATGCATACTTTGTATTTGCTTTCTTTACTTAATTTAGTAAACATCCTCGATTAGTGCTTCAATACTGCTTTCATTCCCTTAGCATGATTTTCCTCATCGATTCTTCAATAATTATATTTATATTGTTGATAGAATATATTTATTGCAATAAACCGAACTGCCTGAATATTTCTCGCTAAAATTTACCTTAATATTCCTTGAAGAGTCTGGAAGCCTTCGAAATTTTCGGGGAATAACATTTACATAATACAAGAGAAAAAACTTGTTACGGTAATCCAAACTATGGTTGTTATCCGGATGACGTATTTTCCCTAAAGATGAGTATCAAAGACAGTTGTGATACTCTTTCCCTGCAAAGGGATTTTCTCAGCAGCAAAACGGTGAACGAATTCACACACAGACACATACAGATCGTATTTTATTCTCGAGTGTCAAGATGCAGAAACATCTTTTTACTCGACTTCACAATTTTGTTGTTTTACTCGACTTCACAATTTTGTTGTTTGTTTATTAAATCGGTATAGCAAAACGTGCTTATATAAAAATTGGGTTTTTCTAGGTTATAGGAAGCATGGATTTTCTAGATTATAAGAAGACTGATTTACCAAGTTTTCGCCGTTATCCGATACCATAAACTGATTACAAACACAATAATAAAAGTTTGAATTTTAATAGGGTTCAATCAACTTTAAAAAAAAATATTGTGTTACATATTATGCGTGCTACTATTTATATACTTTTGAGGTATCATCATCAGCTTCGAGCCCATAGCGTTCTAGCACTAAAATCACTGAACATTTGTAGTTTCGACCTGATAACGTTTCCATGCGAACGGCCTGATTGCAAGACCGTTTTCGTATTTTTTCCCGTACGTAGTGTCAGTTTCACTTAGAAAGTCCTCAACGAAAGTATCACTTCCCTTAGGCAGATAGCTCTAGTGTGCTTTGCCATAATCAACAAATCTAAATTAAACTATACTCTGTTGCTTCGTGGCAATAATTGACTACCACCTACTAAAAAAAAATATATTCTTTCCTAGTACACAACGACGTGGCCATTCATCTCACTGTAAATAATACTGAAAATGAAGCCATAAAGATAAAAGAATTCCTCATCCAACTTACTCCGTACATTTAATTGCTTTGAAAAGGCCTATTCTAAAAAAAAAAAAAAAAAAAAGAGTTTTGAAAGTTATTTGGAATTGAGCAATTAAAGAACAACAACTAATATTATATCTTGAGGTATAAAATATAACAATTTTGTAATAAATAACAGATTTAATTTCAATAACAGAATAAAGCAGTGGTTGGGTTAAGCCAGTCAACGAACTGGTAATTAAAACTGAATGCATCGGAGAAGAATGTTGCGACACCAGGAAGAAGAATGTTGCGACACCAGGAAGAAGAATGTTGCGACACCTTTTGAAGAACAAAATTTGTGAATGTGAATTGCGTCTGTTAAAAGAAAGTTCATTGTTAAAAATCTGGATGTCCTAAAATATTATATTTATAATGGTAAACATTCATAGAAGGTAAAGAAGATAAACTAGTATTGGCTACCCTTAAATAAGTTTATTAAGAATTGCTCTAGGTCGTTTTACATTATTTACATCACTATTTCCCGTTAATAAAACTTGTCATAGCGAATTATGCCTTTTACATTGATATAGCATTAATTATTCATTATTCATTCATCGGGTCATTTATTTTTCCTAACATTTGTTGTTAGCATCTTATCTGTGTCAAATAAGATTCAGTTTGAGTGTCTTTTTTTTCTGTTTAGTTTTTGGTAAATATTGGTCTCTGGATAAAAAGTACAGTATTATAATGAATATTTTCATTTAAAAAGATCATGTTATATTACCAATTCGTCTCGAAATGCATCAAGATGCGAAAAGTAAATCTTTAAATCAGCAGCAGGAAAGCAACTCAACGCAATAGCACCGTGAATGTAAATTTTGTATTGGTGTATTGAATTAAGTGGTATGTATACGTTTTATCCTATCTGTATAAATCGGTAATTTTTTATGTTCACGTGTATATTTAAGTTCATGTATTCTTTCCATTATATGTATACTGTTTACTAAAATCAAGATTTTTTATGTATATTTCATTCAATTTGTATACTAACCTTAGTTATCGATGAACCTAAATCTTCCTCTGGGGCATGGTTAATTCATATTGTACGAGGTTCTTCACTCGTAGGTTTCTCATTTATTCAGGAAATATATTTTCGAAATTCCAAAATAGGAAGCACATTAATTAACGGTATTTGTCCATTTTAACATATTTCTTTATCTGTTGTCCGCTGTAGATGTTATATTTAATATATTCCCAAATACGAGACTAAATTAAAAAATACAATGTGTTCCTGTTTTTAACCATAAATAAAGATAACGAAATTTCTTTTGAAGGTAGGTCAGCCGGTATATATTCTTACAGGCTACTTTGATGGACAGAAGTTTTGTGATTTTATGAGATAGTATCAGGGTGGAGGTTACTGACGGTTTCATGCTGGAAATTTTCTTAATATATGTGAATCAGTTACTGATTATGATGAACAATGGCTGTGTTAATAGAATTTATATTATGCTACGCATATGAAAAAGTAAATGAATGCCAAAATTAGATTTTGCAAAGCTTTCTTTAGGGACAAATGGTAGAATCTTTGAAAATACATTGACTTTCCAAGTATTTTTGATTGTGTGAAGGCTTTATATAACTAGTGATTGTCTGAAGGTTTTATATAACTAAAAAGAAATTGCACCCTGCACTGGTCTACCGAGAAAATATTGCCATTTATAAATGCTTCATTCTTACATGCAGACTATACAAGGTCTGTGTGCTTAACAGTTCTGTTAGTCAAGAAAATGTAACTAATTTTTAAAATATGTCTATATGCTAATTCTACAAAAAGTAAACTTTTTGCATTTTTTGCTTCTTTTCTTTGATATAAATTTGATTTCCGTTGTTCCAAGTTATTTCAGTATTCTGTAATTAATTCATTTCTGACTTATACACTAATATTTAGCAATATGAGTGGTATTACAGATATGTGATGTATTTTGGCTTACCAGAAAACCCATTGGTGAAAGTGCATTTTTTTACTCGCTAGTATCTAATAGTGGTTTTAAAAATTGTATTAACTATAAAGTTAACAACTGTATTGTATTAAGCATAATAAGTAAAACGTAGCTTGACAAACAATGTTTAAGCACTTCAAGAAAACATCAGCTGATTAACTATGCTGCTTAGAGATAAGAGGAAGAGTATATTAACTGCTTCCCCTAGAAATTTTTTTGAAAAAAATTGCAAAAAATCATCAAATTTTTTATTTTATTATTAAATACACTGAAACGAAACAAATTAAAATATGCAGGTTTTAAGTTGAATTTTTAATTTTTTGAAGGTGTAAATGCATTTAATTTTAATATTAGTTTACTATCCCGAGTTATCTCGGACAAACGAAAACAAGTAAAATATTAGTTTTTAAAACAAAGGACAACACAAAGTGATACCTGACATTCTGTACACTGGGATTCGGTCTCTTTTCTTACTGACCGCTGGAATCTCTTGTACGGGAGCACAGAGTACACTGTGTCCTTAGATTTGAATCCCCCCCAAGCTCTTCATAATCAGTATCTGAAAAATCATCGCTTTGCTGTCTTACATCATCACCATTATTTTACTTTTTTTCAATGGAAGTATTCTTCATATATTATTAATCCACAAGCCGACATATACTATACAATAGGAAACACGTAACCAGTCCCGCCAAAAGAACCACACAACCAACAAAACTGCAAACTGCCAATCAAAGCTAAATATTTCCTTTCATTTCCTCAAGGCCGAGTAAAACCGTGATAAAACAAATCATACTAACAAATTCTGCTTTGCCCGAGTTTTCCCGGAATTAGATATACTAAATGTTATTCTTTGGTTAATTTTACTTTATTGTAAAGTAGTATTCTATTGCTATGCTGAAAAAAATCCCAAGTTGTGAAGAAACATTTTTATTTATCAAAGTATGGTAAAAATGAGATAAGTAATTAATATACACATGTGAATAAACTGTATATTGTACTATATAACAATATATCGATGTAAAATAAAATTTAATACAAATCAAGTAATCAATTAAACATTTTCGAATCTTCATAAAAAACATTCTGCAACTGTCTGCAGTAGATTAAAGCAGTTGAGGTCAAATAAGGTTTAATAGCAAAAATTTTGCTGAAGATCAATAGGGGTGGATACAAAATATATAGTGTAATATGAGGCATTAATAAAGGCTAAAAATTGAAACATTCTGTGATCCACCAAATGTGATTAGTACCTGTACCATATTTCCAGAAAAGAATTTTTTTCATAAAATTCAAACCATAATTAGCATCATGTGATACTTAATGGTTATGTGATGTTTGATTTTATCTGGCAAGGTTTAATAATTTCTTTTTGTTTGTTTATTCTAGGAATGGGTGTCCACAAAGAAATATGCGTTGGCTTAAATAAAGGCCATAAAGTTACAAAAAATGTTGTAAAACAGAGACCATCAAGAAGGAAAGGTGTAAGTTAATTTTAGTAAATTGTATATTAAGTAAGACCCAAAATATCTGTTGGCTGTTTTTGTAAGGAATTATGATAAAAGTTCCATGTAATGTTTATTGCAGGTCTTAACAAAACATACCCGTTTCATCAGAGACATTGTCCGTGAAGTTTGTGGTTTTGCACCATACGAAAAACGAGCAATGGAATTGTTAAGAGTTTCAAAAGATAAAAGGGCGCTGAAATTCATCAAGAAAAGGGTAAATGTTTTATTTGTATATAAATGAATCTTGCTTTAAATTCCATAGTTAGTAATTAATTTTAAGCAACAGAAGCTATTCAGAATTGGAAGCAAACTTGTGAATTATTTCTGCTGTTCTTTGCATTTTAAAATATATTGTGTTGGTCTGAATATAAGCTGCACACTTTATCCATACTTCAGTTGTGAAAAATAAGGATGCTGCTTATATTTGCGACCTTGTAAAGAGCGAATTTTACATATGTTTAAAAAGTAATTTATATCTCATTTTGAAAGGGTGAATATGCAACTGTAACATTTTAGAAACTGGCCGCATTGTTAAGATAAGGTACTGGTAATGTTAAGTAGTTACAGCATTATCAAAAGTTAATAAATATGGCAAACAATTGTAACCTAGATTTTTTTCAATAATGTTATGATAAAACGAAGTTACTGGTATTTATCTACCTCCTATGTTTTCATGAATTGGGAAATGGTAACTGGTATTTTCTTTTCATCATTAGCGTATATGTGGAGATTTTTTGGGGGGGGTCTCTCTTTGTTCCTTCAAATTTTAGAGTTTAACTTTTATTTGAGCCAGTATGTTATTTTAAACTACTTGTTAAGTGCCATGAAGCAGGAAAAATGTTTCACATCATCAAAGGTTCAGTTTTAATTAAACATGTAAGGTATGTTATGTAATATGAAGGAATAGCTATAAGAAAAGTGTAATTTATAAGTATTTTGGATTTAGCGTCATATAAAATATAGCTGTTTCTGACATTTGTGATGACATAAATCAATTTGTATTTTAGAAAATCGTCTATTTTAGTTTCAGCATTTGTGTCATGAATGGCAAATTAAGAACATCAGAAAATCTGGGGAATAATTTTGTTCGACTTCTGAGTTATGTTTTATTGAGCACTGTTTCATATGCATATTTATTTCTTTGTTACTGTCCTCAAGCTAATTTTTTTAATTATAATAGAATCTTGTTTTGTAAATTTTTTGTGTTCAACATGAATACCTTTGGTTTTTGATGGCTGTGATGAATTACTTGCCCTCACAGATTATCTGTGGTGATTCAGTATATTTCTGAGCTAATTCATGAATGGAAACTTCATATGCCTAAACATCTGTTGGATGTTGCTGAAAAATATGATGCTTTTATTATTTAAGTAAAATAATGCAAAGTACAGTGGTATCTCAGTATATGTGTCATTTCAATGTGAAATTTTTTGTGTGGTATGACTCAAGTTTGATGAGTCATGTCTGCATGCACTACTTTTGTTGAATCTTCCGAGACAATGCCATGATTTCTCATACCATCAGTATTCTTGTTTAACTATTCAGTAAGTATTCTGAATATTAACATTTTTTTCCCCACAATTTTTTTGTAAATTCATGAACAGTGAGTTTAGAAAAGTTAATGAGAAGAGTCAAGTATCGAAGAAAATTGTTATGATTGCAGAGGTGATAAAAGAATAGTTGAAAAGAATGAGCACTGCAGACATATTTGGGATTTGGCTACTATAGTGGTGTGTATGATTGAAAAACAGAGGCTTTGATTTAACCGTCATAAAAGGGATGAAATCAATTGCTAAACAAAGATGAAGAATGTTAGAGCATGTTGAAAATTTGCTTTTTGATCTGGATAATAGAAGAACCATTAGTATATATTTCACCTATTGCATTTGTATTTTAATATTAAATAGTGTTACAATAATCATAATAATATTTTTGTGTAAGAACAATACTTTCCCTTTATTCCTCGTTGAAAAAGTTTGCTTTATTTCTTATTGAAAAAGTATCTGGAATGGTTTAATGAAGTCTTCCGTGTACCTGTGTATTTGAATCTTCTGAGCATTAACTTATTTTATGAATGTATATTGTCTATCGTTAAGTCAATAATTATGGAGCTAAGTGTCAGGTCTGCAAGAAAGTAATTTCATTTTTTAGTTTAAACTGTTTTTTCTTCACAAAAATGAACTTTAGTCAAGTATCTTCCATTCATGGTAAATTCATGATTCTGTACTTAATTTCTTGTCTTTATCAGCAAAGAACTCTAGACTGTTTTTAATCCAAATTAATTAAAAATGTAATATTGTTAGAAATAGATATTGTAAAAAAATAGTAAACAATGCTATATTTGTAATTTGAGGTCGTCGTAATTGCTGAAATTTTTACCATTCAAGAAGCATTTCTTAAACTTCGAAATAAATGATAATATAATGCTGTAAGGTTGGAACTATGTGGGGATTGGACATGAGTTTCCAGCCGAGCTCTGGTAATTTCATACGTGTTGCTTAAAGATGTGTGAGGCTTTGCATTGTTATGGTGGAACACAATTCTTTTACTATTGCTAATTTTGGACTCTTGTTTCATTGCTTCCTCCAATTTCATAAGTTGTTAGCAGTAAATACATGAGTTGATCAATAATTTGGTTGCTTAGAAACAGTTCAAAATACACAGCATGATGTAATCCCACCAAATTCATGGCATAATCTTTCTTTGAAGCAGCAGTTTAGCTTTCGATATGATTTGTGCTGATTCGTTCATGTTTGGACCATGGTTTTTTTCGATTAATGTTTTTTGTGACCAATCCATTTTTAATCATGATTAATAATTTGTTTTAAAAAGAATCGATTGCTTTACGTTTTAAAATGCATATTGCAAATATTGATTCTTTGTGTTAAGTGAATTACTTTCAACTCATTCGTAACCCAAATATCGAGCTTTTTAATGAGCCCAAGACATTTTGTGTGATTTTCAGATGTTGCATGTGATACAGTTAACCTTTTTCTAAATTCTTGCACAGTTATACAACAATTAGATTATGTTATGGCTTTAATTTTGTCTTCGTCATTTTTAGATCAGATGTTGGTCATCTCTAGAAAGAAAATTTTTTTTAAACCAATTCTGACACGTGATCTATTGAGCAGTTGACAATATAAACTTCACATATCTCTTTGGACTTCAGCCATTGTTTTGCTTGTATAAAAATAAGAAAGTAAAATATATCTAAAATGTTTATTTTTTCATCTTATGTTAAATTTGACTGCAAACTCATAGACTCCAACTACTACGGATTCTCCGTAGTTTTTACGGAAATTAATGATAAACTACGAGCTACGAAAAGTATGGGGAAAACTATGGATTTTACAGAAACAAAGTAAGAGAACCAGTACACAAAATGGAACCAGCTAATTCATCCGATGATTAGCTGAATACTCGTGTCATCATATATCACGTGTTGAGTGCATTGCTGGTTTTTAAGAATAGCCAATCATAGATCGGTAACTCCAATTGTTAATGACTTGTCAATAGTTCCCCCGCAACATTTGGTCTCTCAGGTTCGTTGCTGCTGCGTGTTTAGCTTGCCTTCGGCTCCATTACTTGGGTGACGGCGAGAACTTAGCGTGTGTCTTGTGAACTGGGATTCAGTCTTCAGAATTTCCATGCATTAAAGCATCTGTAATTTCTGCGAATCACGCAAACTGCAGTGTATGCAACAAAGACTTCTCAGTTGCACATGGCGGAAAAGATGACTGTAAACGGCATGTTTTTTCTCAAAAACATATAGAACTTGGCACTGTAAAATCTAAAGAAATAACAAATTTCTTAATAAAAGATGACGAAACAGGTCCTATGGAAGCCAAATGCTATTTTGTTCGATTTTTAATTGACACAATCTACCACTTTCTGTTTCGGATCATTCCAAAGAGCTTTTCAAAGCAATGTTTCCGGATTCTGCCATATCAAAATTTTAGCTGCGGTCATACCAAAACTGCCACTATTGTGAAAACACTTGCAGAAAGTACTGTTGCCAATATTATAAAATCAGTATGCAATACATTGTTTTCTCCAAGTACTGATGGAAGTAATGATAACAAACTGTATCCATTGATTATAACATATTACAGTAAAGAAAAGGGAGTGATAATTACGTCATTGATTTCTATTTTAGAGTGCACGAATAATACCAAAGAAGGTATTTTTAATTGTATAAATGAAAACTTTAAAAGCAAAGGTTTAGAATGGAAAAATTACTTATCATTATCTTCAGATAATGCTAGTAATATGATTGGAAAGTTTAAAGGTGTAGCATCGTTTATCAAAATGCATCAACCAAGTATAATCATCCGAGGTTGTCCATGCCACCTCTCGCATGTAGCTGCAAAAGGGCTACTGAAAATTAATTGGCTCAGAAATCGAAGGCTGATCTTTGGAATATGGTAACAGGTAGTTTGGCGACATTTTGGTAAGGCGATAAAGGTTACTAGGTAGGACTTTAGCAATAATCTGAGAAGTACACAGTTCGAATCACAGATTATTTTGTCTTGGAGAAATGAGAGATCATGAGACATGTCATGTGACATTTTCTGGGAAATTCCGATTGTGATTTTAGCTAATAAGCACCCAGGTAACAGTGAGAATGAAGGAAAGAGATTACAGAACATTAAAAAAAAAAGTTACGATCACCTACCATCAGATTGTACTTGTTATTTTTGAAAAATACTTTGCCTTTTTATAACAGTAAATATTAATTTGCAACAAGCTCCTTTTATTTACATAAATTGAGAAGAGAACTTGTTGAACTTTTAATGAATTTATTTGTTAGATTCCTAAAACCATCAGTAATTTCTAAAGAAAATGAAGATTTTACTCTAACATCTCTTTCATTTCAAGAGTGTAGTAAACAAAAAGAAAATTAAAATTTAGTGATTGGTGTGGAAACAAGAGTAGATTTAAAAAAATTCCAAGTTGAATGAAAGTGAAGTAAAATCGTTTTTCGATTATGTGCGAGTCTTTTTTGTAACTGCATGTTCTTATACAATAGAAATTTTCACTAAGTGATCCATTTCTAAAACATGCTGAAGTTGCTGACATCAACTTGAGGACTGAAGTTCCATTTTCATCTGTTTACTTGATGAATACTTTTCCATCCCTTATTGATGAAAAATATCTTAATCAAGTGTAAATTGAATTTTCCATGTATCAAGTAGATGATTTGAAAGAAAT